TCATAAAATTCATAACAAATAATAAACTAACGAGCCGGCAACGAATGAGTCAATAACAAATGCGTCGCAAGAGAATTAATAAATTAACCAATAATAAATTAATCGATAATAAATTAATGAATAATAAATTAGTAAATAATAAATTAATAAATAATAAATGGATAAATAATAAATTAGTAAATAATAAATTAATAAATAATAAATTGATAAATAATAACTTAATAAATAATAAATTAATAGATAATAAATTAATAATAACGGAGAATTAATAAATTAATAAATGATAAATCAATAAATACTAAATTAATAAATAATAAATTGATAGATAGTAAATTAATCAATAATAAATTAATAAATAATAAGTTAGTAAATAATAAATTAATAAATAATATATTAATAATAACGGAGAATTAATAAGTTAGTAAATAATAAATTAATAAATTAATAAATAATAAATTAATAATAACGGAGAATTAATAAGTTAGTAAATAATAAATTAATAAATAATTAATTAATGATAATGGAGAATTAATAAGTAATAAATTAATAGATAAGAAGTTAATAAATAATAAATTAATAAATAATAAATTGTAAATAATGAATTAATCAATAATAAATTAATAAATAATAAATTAATAGATAATGAATTAATAAATAATGAATAAATAATAAATTAATAATAACGGAGAATTATTAAATTGATAAGTAATAAATTAATAGATAATAAATTAATAAATAATAAATTAGTAAATAATAAATTAATAAAAATAATAAATTAGTGAATAATAAATTGATAAATAATAAATTAATAAATAATAAATTGATAAATAATAAATCAATAAATAATAAGTTATTAAATAATAAGTTAGTAAATAATAAATTAATAAATAATAAATTAATAATAACGGAGAATTGATAAATTAATAAATAAACCGAAGTAAACTCGTAATGAGTAAATTGATGAATGAACGGTCGACGGAAACAAAAAAGCGAGCGAATCGGGGAAGAATTAATAATTAAAATAAAAAAAAACAGGGATAAATTGACGATAAATCAAAATAAATTCGTAAGGAAATCAAACCAGTGACAAAGTAACGATGAACAAACTCATTAGTAAAATGATAACTGGTGATACATTAATAAATCGGGGATAAATTAATAACGAATAAAAAAATAAACCCGTATCGAGCAAACGAGCAAGCAGGCAGATGACGAAACAAGAACCGGGAGCGAAGATGGCAAACTCCGCGACCCTCGGGTATGTTTTCATTTTTATTTTCCGGCCAGGGGGGTCAAGGGTCAGGGGGGTCACGGGGGTCGGGGGGTCACAGGGGGGGGTCACGGGGGGGGGGTCCCGGGGGGGTCAGGGGGTCACGGGGTCAGAGGTTGGGGCGCAACCCTCGGGTGTGTTTTCATTTTTATTTTCCGGCCAGGGGGGTGAGGGGGACACGGGGGGGGTCGGGGGTCGGGGGGGGGGGGGTCAGGGGTCAGAGGTCGGGGCGCGACCCTCGGGTTTATTTTTCCAGTCAGAGATCAGGGGTCAGGGGTCATGGAAGTCAGGGGGGGTCAGGGGGTCTTGGGGTTGTCGGGGGTTCAGGGGTCGGGGGTCAGGGGTCGCACCCGGCAGCCCCCAGCAGACCCTGCAGCGCGTACCCGCCGGCCTTGTCCCTGCGGGTGGGGGGGGGAGGGGGCGGGGCCTCGGCGTCGGGGACACGCCCACTTCCAGTCTCCTCCCCCGGGGACACGCCCACTTCCTGTCTCCCCGGGTGGAGGGGACAACGGGCGGGGAGCGCAGGGCTTGGAGGCTTGTGTAGGAGTTCGGTGACCCTGTGTGTGTTGTTTTTTCCCTCCCTGGCCCCGCCCCCTGCTGATGTCACAGGCCCCGCCCCCGGTGATGACGTCACATGCCCCGCCCCCGCCCAGGCCCCGCCCCTCACGCCCACATAGGCTCCGGCTGTCCACGTAGTGGCGCATCAGCTCCTCCTCCTCTGTTAGCGCCGAGAACGTCACCCGCGTCTCCTCGTGGAACGAGGTCACTTCCGGGTCGCCGTGAGAGGGGTGGTTGCGCTTCCGGGTCAGAGGGCGCGGGTCCCGCGGCTCACGCTGAAACCCCGATTCGCCCCGCCAGCACCCCAGAACCAAAGCGCCAGGCCCTCACCGGAAGAGGAACATCCGGCGGAAGCGGAACCGATGTGCACGGGCGCCCGCGTTGCTCCGTTATCTTCGCGGGCGACGGCGCGGCGAACCCGGAACGGACGGATTTTTTTCCGCGGGTCCGGACAGAACCGGACGTCCGGCCGCCGGTACTTTTTTTTCCGCGCGCCCAAAAGCGTTCCCCTCGTCTACGCGGAACTTTTATCGCAGGCCCGGAAGCGCAACAGCGTTCGTCGTCCGGGGCGGTCTCTTTTTCGCGAGTCTTTTGTTCCGCGGATCTTTTTTTTTTTCGCACGTCCTGACGCGGAAGCGCGTCCCTCGGCCCGCGGAACTTTTCTCGTAAGCCCAAATTGTTTTCTCGCGAGTGCAGAAGCGCGTCCGTCGGCCAGCGGAACCTTTCTCGCGCGTCCCGCGGCTGGCGGAATTTCTTTCTCGCGCACCCGGAAGCGGAACAGAGTTCCTAGGCCGGCGGTACTTTTTTCGCGCGCCCGGAACCGCAGCTCTAACCGTGCGGAACTTTTCTCGCGCGCCCGGAGGTGGAACCGGGTCCCTCGGGGCCCGGAACTTTTCTCGCGCGCCGTAAACGGAGGCGCTGACCGTGCAAAACATATCTCGCGCGCCCGGAAGCGGAAGTGCTTCGCTCATCCTGCGTTCCTTTTCTCGCGCGCCTGGGACCCGCGGCACTGACCAAGCGGAACTTTTCTCGCGCGCCCAGAGGCGGAACCGCTTCCCTCGGGCCCCGGAACTTTTCTCGCGCGCCGTAAACCGCGGAGCTGACCAGGCGGAACTTTTTTCGCGCGGCCGGATGCGGAAGTACTTGGCTCATCCTGCGTTCCTTTTCTCGCGCTCCCAGGACCCGAGGCGCTGACTGGGCGGAACTTTTCTCGCGCGCCTGGAGGCGGAAGTCCTTGGCTCATCCTGCGTTCCTTTTCTCGCGCTCCCAGGACCCGCGGAGCTGACCCGGCGGAACTTTTCTCGCGCGCCGAGAGGCGGAAGTGCGTCACCGGGATCATCCGGGCGCCCGGCGGGCAGCGTCGGTTGCGGACGGAGCGGGCGGCCACAGCGGAGGCCTCGGGACGGGGACGGAGGCGGAAGCGGAGCCCGGGCCGGTGAGTGCGAACCCGGAAGTCGCCCGTCCGCCGCCCGGGGACCCGGATTGAACCGGTTCGGGGCGGATTCGGGCGGCGGACGAGGGGAGGGGGGAAAGGAGCGGGGCTGCGGGGGGCCGAGGAGCGGCGGGGGCGGGGTCTGGGTGAGGGGCGGGGCTGAAGCCGTTGGGGGCGGAGCTAGTCGGCAGGACGGGGGTGGGGATTGACCAGGACTCTGGGGAGGGCGGGGCTACAGGATGTGGGCGGGGCCAAAGAGCCTGGCTGAGAAGGGGGCGGGGCCAGAGGACAGGTAATGGAGTCGGGATTGGGCGAGGGGCGGCGCTTCTGTGTGGGCGTGGTTAGCGGGAAGGACAGGAAGGGGATTGGCTGGGGGTGCGGGGGCGTGGCCAGGGAGGGCGGAGTTAAAGGGCAGAAGGAGGGGGTGTTGGGGGCGTGGCCTGCATGAGGGGTTTATAGAGGGGAGGGCGGGGCCTCAGGGATGGGGCGGAGCCAGTGGGCAGAAGGGGATTAGGATTGACAGGAATAGCCAGGGGCGGGGCTTAGCTGTTGGGGGCGGGGCTCCAGGGCAGGACTGGGACAGGGATTGGCAAGACTGTCAGAGTGGGCGGGGCTGAGACTTCAAGGCCAGGATGGTGGGGCGTGGCCTCAGTGACTTGTTGATTTAGGTGAGGGCGGGGCCTGAGCGATGGGGGCGGAGCCAGAGCGCAGGACGGGGACACGGATTGGTCAGGAGGATGTGGTGGGCGGAGCCAGAGGTCAGGACGGAGACACGGATTGGTCAGGATGATGTAGTGGGCGGAGCTCTCCTGTGTGGGCGGAGCCAGAGGTCAGGCGGGGACAGCGATTGGTCCTGATGACCTTGTGGGCAGAGCTCTCCTGTGGGGGCGGAGCCAGAGCACAGGACGGGGACACGCATTGGCCAGGAGGACGTGGTGGGCGGGGCTCACCCTTGGGGGGCGGAGCCAGAGGGCAGGACGGGGACATGGACTGGTCAGGATGACGTGGTGGGCGGAGCTAGAGGGCAGGGACACTGATGAGCGGGGCTCTCCTGTGGGGGCGGAGCCAGAGCACAGGACGGGGACACGCATTGTCCAGGAGGACGTGGTGGGCGGGGCTCTCCTGTGGGGGCGGAGCCAGAGCGCAGGACGGGGACACGGATTAGTCAGGATGACGTGGTGGGCGGAGCTCCCCTGTGGGGGGCGGAGCCAGAGCACAGGACAGGGACCCGGATTGGCCAGGAGGACATGGTGGGCGGGGCTCTCCTGTGGGGGCGGACCCAGAGCGCAGGACGGGGACATGGATTAGTCAGGATGAAGTGGTGGGCGGGGCTCTCCTGTGGGGCCGGAGCTATAAGGCAGGGGTGGTTGCGGATTGTGAGGGCGGGGCTCACCCTTGGGGGCGGAGCCAGAGGGCTGGGCGGGGACCCGGATTGGTCAGGAAGACGTGGTGGGCGGAGCTAGAGGGCAGGGACACGGATGGGCCTGGAGGGCGGGGCTCTCCTGTGGGGGCGAAGCCAGAGGGCAGGACGGGGACCCAGATTGGCTGGGAGGACGTGGTGGGCGGAGCTCTCCTGTGGGGGCGGAGCCAGAGGGCAGGACGGGGACCCAGATTGGCTGGGAGGACATGGTGGGTGGGGCTAGAAGACAGGGACACGGATGGGAGGGGCTCACCCTTGGGGGTGGAGCCATAGTGCAGGACAGAGACACGGATTGGTCGGGAGGACGTGGTGGGCGGAGCTTCAGGGCGAGGACGATCGGGCGGGGTGGGCGTGTCCCTCACCGGCCCCGCCCCCCCCTCTCCCCCGTCAGCCATGTCGGCGGCCACCATCGTGCACGACCCGTCAGAGGCGGCGCCGCTGTGCCCGGCGCTCGGCCTCTACCTGAAGCCGATCACGAAGCTGGCAATCAGCGTGGCGCTGCCCGCGCGCCGTCTGCCGGGGAAGTCGATCTCCAACTGGGAGGTGATGGAGCAGCTCAAGGCCATGGTGGCGGGGGCGGGGCCCGACGACATCACCGCGGAAGGGGGCGGGGCCTCCATGGCGCCGGCCCCGCCCACCCCGCCGCCCCTGCGGGCGCCGCACGCGCAGTTCTCGTCGCTGCGCATCGCCGAGAGCACGCTGGACTTCATCCGCTTCGAGGGCGAGGTGGAGCAGCGGGCGCTGGTGCGGCCGTTCCTGGCGCAGCTGGACGGCCGAGGCCTCAAGCTCGCGGGGTTCCCGGACCCGCTCCGCGTCCGCGCCGCCAAGTTCCGCCCCGACGCCCCCTCCCGCCACGACTGGGACGCCTTCTTCCGCGACGCCGCCGACATGAACGAGACCCGGCCCGGCGAGAGGCCCGACACCATCCACCTCGAGGGGCTGCCCTGCCGATGGTTCGCGCCCCGCGCCGGCGGCCATGGTGGCGAAGCCACTTCTGCCAGGAGTGAAGCCACTTCCGCCACCACTTCTGCCAGTACTTCGTCCACTTCCGCCAGGAGTGAAGCCACTTCCGCCAGGAGTGAAGCCACTTCCGCCAGCACTTCCGCGAGCACTTCGTCCACTTCCGCCAGCGCTCCGTTTTCCGTGTCCGCCGGGACGGAGCGCCCGAGCGAGGCGGTGCTGCGCCAGGCGTTCTCGGCGTTCGGGGAGATCCGGCAGGTGGACATCCCGATGCTGGACCCGTACCGCGAGGAGATGGCGGCGGTCGGCGGGGTCGGCGGAGGCCTCCGCGTGGGCGGCGGCCTCGGAGGCGGCGGCCGCGGCGGGTTCCACACGTTCGGCTGGGGCGGCGGGCTTCACTTCGAGGCCTACGTGCAGTACCGCGAGTACGCGGGGTTCGTGCGCACCATGGCGGCGCTGCGGGGCGTGAAGCTCATGTACAAGGGCGAGGACGGCAAGGCGGTGGCGTGCGGCATCAAGGTAGGGGGCGGGGCCGCGGGGGGGGCGGGGCTCGTGGGCGGGGCCGTGTGGGCAGGGCGTGGGGCTCGGGTGCGAGGTGATGGGAGTAGGACTCGGGTTCGAGGTGGTGTCATCGGGGCGTGGGGCTCGGGTTCAAGGAGGCGAAGGGACGGTGGGCGGGGTTTCCGGGCGCCGAGGTCACACCCCCACCCCCCCGGCCCCGCCCCCAGGTCTCGTTCGACGCCACCAAGCACCTGAGCGAGGCCTCGATCCGGCGGCGGCAGCTGGAGCGGCAGAAGCTGCGGGAGCTGGAGCTGCAACGCGAGGAGCAGAAGCGGCGGGAGCGCGAGGCGGAAGAGCGGCGGCGGGAGGAGGAGCAGTGAGCGCGGGGGCGGGGCTTCAGGGGCGGGGCGGGGCTGCGCGGGGGCTTCCTGTCCCTCCTGGACTCACTTCCTGTCCCTCCTGGACTCACTTCCTGTCCCTCCTGTGCCCACTTCCTGTCCCTCCTGGACCCACTTCCTGTCCATCTGGGACCCACTTCCTGTCCCCCCAAGACCAACTTCCTGTCCCTCCGGGATCCACTTCCTCTCCATCCGGGACACACTTCCTGTCCCTCCTGGACCCACTTCCTGTCCATCTGGGACCCACTTCCTGTCCCCCCAAGACCAACTTCCTGTCCCTCCGGGATCCACTTCCTCTCCATCCGGGACACACTTCCTGTCCCTCCTGGACCCACTTGCTGTCCCTCCTGTGCCCACTTCCTGTCCCTCCTGTGCCCACTTCCTGTCCCTCCTGGGCCACTTCCTGTCCATCCGGGACCCACTTCTTGTCCATCAGGAACCCACTTCCTGGACCCACTTCCTGTCCCTCCTGTGCCCACTTCCTGTCCCTACTGGGCCACTTCCTGTCCATCCGGGACCCACTTCTTGTACATCAGGAACCCACTTCCTGGACCCACTTCCTGTCCCTCCTGTGCCCACTTCCTGTCCCTCCTGGACCACTTCCTGTCCCTCCTGGACCCACTTCCTGTCCCTCCGGGATCTACTTCCTGTCCCTCCGGGACCCACTTCCTGTCCCTTCTGTGCCCACTTCCTGTCCCTCCTGGACCCACTTCCTGTCCCTCCTGTGACCACCTCCTGTCCCTCCGGAACCCACTTCCTGTCCATCAGGAATGCACTTCCTGTCCCTCCTGTGCCCACTTCCTGTCCCTCCTGTGCCCACTTCCTGTCCCTCCTGGACCCACTTCCTGTCCCTCCTGTGCCCACTTCCTGTCCCTCCTGGACCCACTTCCTGTCCCTCCTGCGCCCACTTCCTGTCCCTCCTGGACCACTTCCTGTCCCTCCTGCACCCACTTCCTGTCCCTCCTGCGCCCACTTCCTGTCCCTCCTGCACCCACTTCCTGTCCATCCGAGACCCACTTCCTGTCCATCCTGAGCCCACTTCCTGTCCCTCCTGCACCCACTTCCTGTCCCTCCTGGACCCACTTCCTGTCCCTCCTGTGCCCACTTCCTGTCCCTCCTGTGCCCACTTCCTGTCCCTCCTGGACCCACTTCCTGTCCCTCCAGTACCCACTTCCTGTCCCTCCTGTGCCCACTTCCTGTCCCTCCTGTGCCCACTTCCTGTCGCCTTGCTTCTGGCCATGATGTGCAAATCCTGGCATGCAAATGAGATCATGAATATGCAAATCCCGGCATGCAAATGGGGTCATGAACACGCAAATCCCGGTATGCAAATGGGGTCGTGAATATGCAAATCCCGGTGTGCGAATGAGGTCCTGGCTGCTCGTGAATATGCAAGCACGGCATGAGCATGCAAATCCCGGCATGCAAATGAGGTCCTGGCTGCTCATTAATATGCAAACTGTAGTATGTAAATCGCCCCCGTGGCGCGCATATGCAAACGAGGCGCTCCTGTGCATGCGGCTCGTAGTATGCAAATGGCCCGTGCTTCATGAATTTGCAAATCCCGGTATGCAGATGAGGTCCTGAATACTCATGCATATGCAGATCATAGTATGTAAATCGCCCCACCCCCATCCCCACCCCCCACCCCCCCCCCCGCAGAGCACTCTGGGAAATGTAGTCCAGAGGCCCCGCCCCTCCCGATGACCTCACCCCGCCCCGCCCCCCGCAGGAAGCAGAAGCAGCTGGAGCAGCAGCAGCGCGCGCCGCCGGGAGGAGAAGCTGCGCCGCCGGGAGCAGCGGGCGCGGGAGCGGGAACAGCCACAGCCGCCGCCGGGCGGAGAAGCAACAGGCTGAGGAGCAGCGGCGCCTGCAGGAGAAGATCCGCACGGAGGAGCGGAAGCTGCTGCTCGCCCAGCGCAACCTGCAGTCGATCCGGCTGGTGGCCGAGCTGCTGGGCCGCGTGGAGGTGCGTATGCAGGCGGTGTCGCACTTGGGCGCGGTGTGTATGCAGGCGGTGTCGCACGTGTGCGCGGTGTGTATGCATGCGGTGTCGCACGTGTGCGCGGTGTGTATGCAGGCGGTGTCGCACGTGTGCGCGGTGTGTATGCAGGCGGGATTGCACGTGTGCATGTATACATGTGGGAGGTGTGTATACACGCGGTGTTGCACTGTGCGTGGTGTGTATGCACGCGGTGTTGCACGTGTGCATGTATACATGTGGGAGGTGTGTATACACGCGGTGTTGCACGTGTGCGCGGTGTGTATGCAGGCGGGGTTGCACGTGTGCGCGGTGTGCGTGTATACATGCGGTGTCGCACGTGTGCGCGGTGTGTATGTGTGTATGCACGTGTGCGCCGTGTCTGCGTATGCATTTGCTGTCGCACGTGTGCGCGGTGGGTGTGTATTCATGTGGTGTCGCATGTGTGCGGGGTGTGTGTATGCATGTGGTGTCGCACGTGTGCGCGGTGGGTGTGTGTGTATGCATGTGGTGTCGCACGTGTGCGCGGTGGGTGTGTGTGTATGCACGTGGTGTCGCACGTGTGCGCGGTGTGTGTCTGCGTATGCATTTGGTGTCGCACGTGTGCACGGTGTGTGTGTGTATACACGTGGTGTCGCACGTGTTCGCGGTGTGTGTGTATACACGCGGTGTCGCACATGTGCACTCCCAGCACTCTGGGACACGGAGTCCGCAGGACCCTGAGGCCCCGCCCCTCGCCCCAGGCCCCGCCCCCGACGACCCCACCCCGCTCCCCCCCGCCCCCGTGCGACCCCCGCAGTGCACTCTGGGAAATGTAGTCCACCGCAGCCCCGAGGCCCCACCCCCGCGGCCGCGTACACCCTCGGCGTCCCGCGTGCGCCCGAGTCCCGGGTCCCGAGTGCGAGTCTCCCCTCCCCCCCCCCCCGCAGGCCGCGAAGCTGCAGCAGCGCCGCCAGCACCGCGCGCGCCAGGAGGAGCAGGAGCGGCGCCGCCTGCAGGAGGCCGAGCTGTGCCGCGTGGAGGAGAAGGCGCGGGCGCTGGGGCTGCAGCGGCGGGAGCGCGAGCTGAGGCGGCGCCTGCTCTCCCTGCTGCTCGGACAGCGCCCGGCCGCCGGCGACTCGAACCCGGGACCCGGCGCCAACGACGCCGCCTCCTCGAATCCAGAACCCGGCGCCAACGACGCCCTCCTGCGGCCCGTGCTCGACATCCTGCACCGCGTGACCCACGCGCGGGCGCCCCCACCGCCCCCGACACCGCCGTTGCCGCCGCAGGACTCGAACCCCGAACCTGCAACGGCGGCGGCGGCGCAGGACTCGAACCCCGAACCCAAGATGGCGCCCGAGAACGCGACGCCTAAGCCAGGCGCGGACGCCGCGTCGACCCCGACCCGCGACCGCGGCGGCGGCGAGCGCGACAAGGGCGACCACCGGGGGCCCGAGTGCGAGGAGTCGCGCGGCGGCCATCGCCGTCGTCGCAGTCTCCGCCGCCGGAGCAGCCACAGCCACGGGCACCACGGGCACGGCCGCCGTTCTCGGTCCCGGTCGCGGTCACCGCGGAGGCGCGGGGCGTGGACCCGGTGAGGACGGCCGGATGGACGGACGGCCCCGGGGCATGCTGGGAACCGGGTCCGAGTGCGAGGTTTTTTTTTTTTTTTTTTTTTGTTTCCGCCCCGGGTGCGGATTCGAATCCCTGGGAAGATGGCCGCCCCCATTCCCCCCCCACCAGGTCGTTTGAGATTTTTTTTTTTCCCCGCCCCAGGTGCGAATTCGAATCCTCTGTGACCGCGCGGACTCCGCCTGGGTTCAATAAGGTCGTTGCCCCCCCTGCGCCCGGCGTCTGCGGTGTGGTCTCTGGGCGGGGTGCTGGGTGCTGGGTGATCTGGGTGCTGGGTGATCCGGGTGCTGGGTAATCTGGGTGCTGGGTGCTAGGTTATCCTGGTGCTGGGTGACCCGGGTGCTGCGCTGAGTCCCCCCCCCCGCCCATCCCAGATCGACCTAGCACCCAGCACCCGGGGCCGACGATGGCCGAGGCCGCGGACGGGGACCCCGAGGACGGGGATTTCCCTCTCCTCATGGACTACGCGCACGGCTTCATGGTCTCGCAGGTGGGTGCTGCGCTCAGTCCTCCCCGGGGTGCTGCGCTGAGTCCCTGGCCGCTGTGCCCTGGGCTGCCTTTCCCTGGGTGCTATACTTGGTCCTTCTCTGGGTGCTGCGCTGAGTCTCCCTCCTGGGCCGTCCTAACTCCCTTAAGAGTCAGGTGCTGAGTGCTGAGTTCCCCCGGGTGCTGCGCTCAGTCCTCCCCGGGATGCTGCTCTGAGTCCCTGGAGAAAAAGGTGCTGGGTGCTGAGTCCCCCAGGGTGCTGGGTGCTGAGTCCCCCCCTGGGTGCTGTGTTCAGTCCCATTGGGTGTTGGACTAAGTCACCCCAGGTGCTGCACCGAGTCCGCTGAGACGAAGGTGCTGGGTGCTGAGTCCACCCATGTGCTGCGCTCCGTGTCCCTGGCTGCTGGGTGCTGGGTCCTCCATCCGGGTGCTGCGCTGAGTCCCCCCAGGGTGCTGTGCTCAGTCCCCCCCGGGTACTGCGCTCCGTCCCCCCCAGGTGCTGCGCTCAGTACCCCCCCCCGGGTGCTGCGCTCAGTCCCCCCGGGTGCTGTGCTCAGTCCCTCCGGGTGCTGTGCTCAGTCCCCCCGGGTGCTGTGCTCAGTCCCCCCGGGTGCTGCGCTGAGTCCCCCTACGCCCCCCAGGTCCTGTTCACGGCCTCCGACCTTGGCCTGTTCGAGGCCCTGGCCGCGGGGCCCCTCGAAACCGCCGCGGTTGCCCGGGCCCTGGGTTCGAGTCCTCGGGGGACGCGGCGGCTGCTGGACGCCTGCGCAGGGCTGGGGCTCCTGAGCGCGGAAGACGGCGGGGGCGGAGGAGGTGATGACGTCACAGGGGGCGGGGCCTGGGGGTCGCGGGGGCGGGGTCTGGGGTGGTGACGTCACTGGGGGCGGGGCCTGGGGGTCACGGGGGTGGGGCCTGGAAGGAGGTGATGACATCACTGGGGGGCGGGGCCTGGGAGAAGGCGGAACCTGGAAGGAGGTGATGATGATGTCACCAGGGGCGGGGCCTGGAGGTCATAGGGGCGGAGCCTGGGAGGAGGAGGCGACGTCGTGGGGGCGGGGCATTTAGGTGATGTCATCATGGGGGCGGGGTCCAGGAGGAGGGGATGATGTCACGGGGGCGGGGCTGGGCGATGATGACATCATAGGGGAGGGGAACGGGGGCGGGGCGAGGGGAAGACGATGTCATCCCACTCCAGGCCCCGCCCACCCGATGACGTCGCCCTCCACCCGGCCCCGCCCCTGTCCCCGCAGGCCACGCCCCCGATGACATCATCGCCCCGGCCCCGCCTTCTCTCCCCGCAGGCCCCGCCCCCAATGACCTCGCCCTTCCCGCAGTCCCCGCCCCTTCTCGCGGGCCCCGCCCCCGATGACATCATCGCCCCGGCCCCGCCCCCTCTCCCCGCAGGCTCCGCCTTCTCCCTCACGCGTCTCTCGCGCCGGTTCCTGCTGGCGGGCAGCCCCCTGTCTCAGCGCGCGATGCTGCGCTACCTGGCCGGGACGACGGCGCGGTGCTGGGGCCAGCTGGGCGGGGCCGTGCGGTAGGGGCGGGGCCTGGGGTGGACGGGGCCTATGGGGGCGGGGCCGTGCGGTAGGGGCGGGGCCTGGGGTGGGCGGGGCCGTGCAGTAGGGGCGGGGCCTGGGGTGGGCGGGCCCTGCTAGAATGGGTGGGGCCAGCGGAACGGGGCGGGGCCTGGGGTGGGCGGGGCATCGGGTGCTCACGGCCTTTGACCTCTCGGAGTTCAGGGTCATCTGTGACGTCGGCGGTGAGGCCCGGCCCCCGGGGTGCTGCGAAGAGTCCTCCCCTCTCCCCTGGGTGCTGCGCTGAGTCCTCCCCTCTCCCCTGGGTGCTGCGCTGAGTCCTCCTTTCTCTCCTAGGTGCTGCGCTGAGTATTCCCCTCCCCCCGGGTGCTGCGCTGAGTCCTCCTCTCTTCCCCGGGTGCTGCGCTGAGTCCTCCCCTCCCCCCGGGTGCTGCGCTGAGTCCCCCCGTCCCCCAGGCGGCTCCGGAGCCCTGGCCGCGGCCTGTGCCCGCCTCCACCCCGCCAGCTCCGTGTCCGTGTTCGACACCCGCGACGTCGTCGCTGCCGCCCGCGCCCACTTCCGGCGCCCACGGGGGGACCCGCCCGTCCGCTTCCTGGGAGGTGGGCCAGGGGCGGGGCCTGGGGCGGGTCACGTCCTGTTTCCTGTCCGGGCACTTCCTGTTTCCTGTCCGGGCACTTCCTGTGTCCTGTCTGGGCACTTCCTGTGTTTTCTCCGGGCACTTCCTGTGTCCTGCCCGGGCATTTCCTGTTTCCTGTCCGGGCACTTCCTGCTTCCTATGTTTCCTCTTCGGGCACTTCCTGTGTCCTGTCCGGGCACTTCCTGTGTCCTGTCCGGGCACTTCCTGTTTCCTGCACGGGCGCTTCCTGTGTCCAGTCTGGGAGCTTCCTGCGTCCTGTGCGGGCGCTTCCTGTGCGCTTCCTGTGTCCAGTCTGGGCGCTTCCTGTATCCTGTGCGGGCACTTCCTGTGTCCTGTGCGGGCACTTCCTGTGTCCTGTCCGGGCACTTCCTGTATCGGGTGGGCGGGCCCCCGCCCCGCCCGCCTGTCCATCACGCATCGGGGGATGGGATTTCTCCGCCCCATCACCCCCGTGACCCCGGAGGCCCCGCCCCCTGACCCCTTGACCCCTTGACCCCCAGGCGACTTCTTCCGGTCCCCGCTCCCGCGCGCCGACCTATACATCCTGGCCCGGGTCCTGCACGACTGGACGGACGCAGACGCCGCGCAGCTGCTGGGGAGGATCGGGCGCGCGGGCGGACCGGGTCAGCAGCGGCGGGCGGGAGCCGGTCGGGGGTCGCAGGGGTCGCGGGGGTGGTCGCGGGGGTCACGGACGTCGGCCGGAGGTCACGGGGGTCACCCAGGAGGAACCGAGTTCAAACAGGGGTCATGGAACCCGTGGGGTCATGGAGGGGGTCGCAGAGGTCACCCGGGACCACGGAGATCGAGGCGTCGCAGAGGTCACACAGAGGTCACCCAGGCGTCACGGGAGTCACAGAGGTCGCACAGAGGTCACACAGAGGTCATGGGTACACAGGGTCACATGGGTCACCCAGAGGTCACCCAGGGATTAAGGGGGTCACGCAGAGGTCACACAGAGGTCATGGGGTCACAGGGGTCACCCATGGGTCACCAAAAGGTCACCCAGGGATTAAGGGGGTCAAAGTGGTCACCCAGAGGTCGCCCATGGGTCACACAGAGGTCATGGGGTCACAGGGGTCACCCAGAGGTCACGGGGTCACCACGGGCGTCCCCCCGTCACCCCCCAGACTCTGCCGTCCTCCTGGTCGAGGCCGTGCTGACCCCCGGGGGCCGCGGCCCGGCGCGCGCGCTGCTCCTATCGCTGACGATGCTGCTGCAGACGCGCGGCCGCGAGCGCACGGAGGCCGAGTTCCACGCCATGGCCGCCGCCGCAGGCTTCTCCCGCAACAGGCGCCACCCTACCGGGGGCGACCTTGAGGTCATGCTGGCCAGGAAGTGAGGTAATCGGGGCGGGGCGGGGCGGGGCCAATAAAGCGACTTCCTGTGTGAGGGACCCACTTCCTGTCCCTCCTGTGCCCACTTCCTGTCCCTCCTGTGCCCACTTCCAGTCCCTCCTGTGCCCACTTCCTTTCCCTCCTGTGCCCACTTCCTGTCCCTCCTGTGACCACTTCCTGTCCCTCCTGGACCCACTTCCTGTCCCTCCTGTGACCACTTCCTGTCCCTCCTGGACCTACTTCTTGTCCCTTCTGTGCCTACTTCCTGTCCCTCCGGGACCCATTTCCTGTCCCTCCTGTGCCCACTTCCTGTCCCTCCTGGACCCACTTCCTGTCCCTCCTGTGCCCACTTCCTGTCCCTCCTGTGCCCACTTCCAGTCCCTCCTGTGCCCACTTCCTTTCCCTCCTGTGCCCACTTCCTGTCCCTCCTGTGACCACTTCCTGTCCCTCCTGGACCCACTTCCTGTCCCTCCTGTGACCACTTCCTGTCCCTCCTGGACCTACTTCTTGTCCCTTCTGTGCCTACTTCCTGTCTCTCCTGTGCCCACTTCCTGTCCCTCCTCCGCCCACTTCCTGTCCCTCCTGAACCCACTTCCTGTCCCTCCTGAACCCACTTCCTGTCCATAACCAGCTTCCTGTCCCTCCTGTGCCCACTTCCTGTCCCTCCTGTGCCCACTTCCTGTCCCTCCTGTGCCCACTTCCTGTCCCTCCTGTGCTCACTTCCTGTCCCTCCTGTGCCCACTTCCTGTCCCTCCTGTGCTCACTTCCTGTCTCTCTGGGACCCACTTCCTGTCCCTCCGGGACCCACTTCCTGTCTCTCCTGGACCCACTTCCTGTCCCTCCTGTGCCCACTTCCTGTCCCTCCAATACCAACTTCCTGTCCATCTGGGACCCACTTCCTGTCGCCACCGCACGGCCCTCTGGGAAACGGAGTCCCACAGCTGGCGTGTGATGGTCCCGCCCCCCGACAGGAAGTGGGTGTCCTCCCGCCCCCCCACAGGCAGGAAGTGAACAGGATTACCCCGCCCACCACCTGCCAATCACGTGACACCCGACCTGGGCGGACCCCAGTTCTGATGATTGACAGCGGGGGGCGGTGGGGGCGGGCCCGACCCGAGAGTGACGTCATCGGGAGGCGGGGCCACCCCCCCCTCCGCCGCTGATTGACAGCCACACACACCAACCAGGCTCAAAAATACCTTTTCCTTTATTGGCGGGCGATGTCCCTCCGCGAGCAGCGGCGACGTCGTAAGTGGGGGATCAAGGGTCGGGGGTGGGGGGGGTGGTGGGGGGCGGGGCGATCTCTCTACATGGTAGAAAATGGCGTCACATGACGGATGGCGGCGTCCGGCGGGGGCGGGGCCTACGCAAGATGTGGGGAGGGGGGGAGGAGGCACGCGGCGCGAAATGGCTGGAGGCGGTGGTGATGTCATCGGGCGGTGATGTCATCGGGCTTTGATGTCATCGGGCGGCGACGTCATCATTCGGGCGGTGACATCATCGTTCGGGCGGCGACATCATCATTTGGGCGGCGTGATGTCGTCGGGCAGTGTGATGTCATCGGGCGGCGACGTCATTGGGCGGTGATGTCATCATTCCGGCGGCGACGTCATCGGGTGGTGATGTCATCGGGCAGCGACGTCATTGGGCGGTGATGTCGTCGGGCGGTGATGTCATCATTCGGGCGACGACGTCATCAGGTGGTGATGTCATCGGGCGGTTACGTCATCGGAAACCCCAGGGGCCGAGGGCGTCCATGGCAGGGGGTGTGGCCTGCTGGGAGAGAGGGGGCGGGGCCGGGTCAGGGTGGGCGGGGATATGCAAATGAGCTGGGCAAGGGGGAAATAAGCAAAAAGTGAAAATCCATCAAGCAATGAAATTCATGCAAATTTATGCAGGTTTATGCAAATTCGCACGCATCTATGCAGATTTATGCAAATTGATTCGGGTCCAAGCGCAGATAGACCCCACCCGGTGGGAGGGGCCCCCCAAATATTTAAATCCGCATGCAAATGAGCCACCGAAATTTTAAATTTCCCAATTAAATATGTTTCAGCGCGGTCTCTCCAGAGTCCAAGGTCAGAGGTCGAGGCCGCTGAGGTCACTTCCTGTCCCCCGAGGACTCCGCCCCCTCCCCTGGGGTCACAGGGTCATGAGAGGTCAAGACGAGGACAGGGAGTCTTGGGTGGGTCAGGCAGGGGTCACAGGGAGGTCAGGGGGAGGTCAGGGCATCAGGCAGGAGTCACTGGGAGGTCGGGCGTCAGGGAGGGGTCACGGGGAGGTCAGGGGGAGGTCGGGGGTAAGGCAGGGGTTATGGGGAGGTCATGGGTCACGGGGGAAGGGTGAGGGGTCACGTCTTTTTTTTTTTTTTTACCATCGCGAAGTCAATCAACCAACGCGGCAGATATTTTTTTTTTTTTTCCCGTCCTCACCCGCGGGTGACGTCACGGGGGCGAGTGGGGATCCGGGGGGGCGGGGCGTGACGTCACGGGGGCGGGGCGCGGGGGTCAGAGGCCGTGGTCGCAGAAGACATCGCAGCAGATGTACCAGAGGATGACATAGAGGATGAGGAGGATGGCGAAGATGAAGAGCGCGACCAGCAGCGCCTTGGTCACGGGCGACACCAGCGACTGCATCGTGACGTCACCCCGGCGCGACCCCCCCCCCCCCCCCCGTGACGCCGGAGGCGGGACTTCCGGCCACCGCGCCGCACCGGAAAACCTGAGTACTACAAAGATGGCGGAACGGGCGCCTCAGAGCCCAGGGAAAGGGCACTTCGGGTCGACCCTAAGCACTTCCGGTCCCAGCCGCTGAGCCTCCTGGGAATTGTAGTTTCCGGGATCTGATACGGAGGCTTAGAGCCCAGGGAAAGGGCACTGCCTGTGCCTGCGCCGAGCACTTCCGTTCCCAGCCGCCGAGCCTCCTGGGAATTGTAGTTTCGGCGACCCAAAACGGACCCTAGGAGCTAAAAAAAACCCACTTCCGGTGCAATTTTGAACACTTCCGGTCCTGGCCGCCGAGCACCATGGGAAATGTAGTTTCCCAGACCCGAAACGGAGTCTCACCGCATAGGGCAAGGCACTTCCTGTGCCTGTGCCGAGCACTTCCGGTCCCAGCCGCCGAACCTCCTGGGAAATGTAGTTTCCCGGACCCGATACGGAGCCTTAGAGCCCAGGGAAAGGGCACTTCCGGTTTCGACCCTAAGCACTTCCCGTCCCGGCCGCCGAGGCTCCTGGGAAATGTAGTTCCCGCCCGCCCTCAATCACGGCCGTGGTCATGGCTCCCGCGCTCCTGCTCCTCTTTGCGTTTGCGCTGCTCGAAGGCCTCGGCCAGGGCCAGGGTGAGCGGGGTCGGGGCGGGGTCAGGGGTCAGGGGCCGCGGCGGGGTCAGGGGTCGCGGCGGGGGTCACGGCGGGGTCGCGGCGGGGTTCGGGTTCCGCGCATGGGGCCGCTGCGGGCGCCTAGGAGTCCGCGCCTCCGCCTCCCTCCCCTTCGCCATCAATCCCCGGCCGCAGCTCCCGCCGCGGCGCGCGTGGGGAACGCTGGAAAATTTTTTGCCGCCGCCGCCGCCGCCGAGGATTTTTTTTTTTCTGTTTTTGGGGTTTTTTTTGAAATTTTTTATTTTTTGGAATTTTTTTTTTTTCTTTTTAAAAACTTTTGGGGCGCGGCTGCTCCCGGCATGCCGTGCGCCACGCCCACACCCCCGCCCCCCCACTCCAGGACCCACGTGACTCTGGCCCCGCCCCTCGCCCCTCCCACTCCGGACCGCGTTCTCGTGAAGTCAATCAACCAACCCCAAGGGGCGGCAATTCCCGGGGAGGAAGGGGCGGGGTCACGTGACACCGTGACTCAGGGCCGGGCGGGTGCAGCCCTGGGCGTCAGCATGGGTGGAGGGGGAAAAAAAATGACTCACAGGTTGTGACATTTTTTAATTTTTAATATATTTTTTTAATTTTTAATTTTTTTTAATTTTTAATTATCTTTTTCCTTCCAGATTTCGACCTCTTGGACGCGCTTGATGGTGAGTGGGGGGGGGGGGGCGGGGCGGGGCCGAGGCTTCCAGCCAAAAAAAAAAAAAAACCGGGAAATTCCGGTCTTAAAAATTAATAAATAAATAATAAATAAATGAAAACAAATAAATAAATGGAAAATTTCCATTTCAGGAAAAAAAAAAGGAAAATGAAGGCATGAAATATTTGTGAGGCAAAAATGAAATTTTTTCGTTCGTCTATTTTTTTTTGGAACAAATCTTTTTTGATCAATTTTTTAATAAGTTTAATAAAATTTTTAATATTTAATATTAAATGAATTTAATAAAAAATGTTCAAAAACATGAAGAAATGAAATTTTTTTTCAGGGGAGGAGGCAAAAGTGAAGTTTTTTCATTCACCTGTTTTTTTTTGGAACAAATCTTTTTTAACAAATTTTTTGATAAGTTTAATAAAACTTTTAACATTTAATATTAACAAATAAATCTAATAAAATTTTTAATATTTAATATTAAATAAATCTAATAAATTTTTTAACATTTTTAATAAATAAATTTAATTTAATATTTAATAATCAATAGATTTAATAAAATATTTAATATTTAATGAATTTAATAAAATTTTCCTGGTTTTTTCCCCCCCCAGAACCGAAGAAGCCGACGTCGCCGCCTAAGAAGCCTCCGCCATCGGGTGAGGTCGTGGTGTGGGGAAACTGAGGCAGCGACTGGGGGACCCCGCCCCCCCCTCCCTTCACTTCCGGTTTGCTAATTTATGCTAACGACCTCGAACCCCTCGGGCTTTGCAGGGCGGTATGCAAATGTTTGCTAACGACCGGGTATGTAAATGCATGCTAATAGGAGGCCGCGCTGGCGTGTGCTAGGTGAGTGTGGCTTATGCAAATCAGCCCCATTTGCATGGCTCGCCGCTATGCAAATCCATGCAAATGAGCCCGGGGAGACACACGATCCGCTTATGTAAATATATGCTAATCGAACTGCCGGTAATTTATGCAGATGCATGCTAATGACCAGTTGCTAATGAGACTCCTGCCACGTAAATCCACGCTAATTTATGCGAATCAGGCCATTTCCTTGGCTCCGTATGCTGATCCATGCTGATTTTATGCAAATCCATGCTAATTTTGTGCAAATCCGTCCCCTCCCAGGCGACTTCAACACGGACCTGGAAGACGCCACCGGGGGCAAAGGTGAGGCCACGCCCACTGTGATGTCATAGCCCCGCCCACCTGCGATGTCACCGCCCCGGTGATGTCATAGCCACACCCGTGATGTCATGGCCACGCCCACTGTGATGTCATAGCCCCGCCTACCTGTGGTGTCGCAACCCTGGTGGTCATAGCCCCGCCCACGGCAGTTTTGTGGCCCCGCCCACCCGTGATGTCGAGACCCTGGTGATGTCATAGCCCCACCCACCTGTGATGTCATAGCCCCTCCCACGGCAATGTCATGGCCCCGCCCTCCTGTGGTGTCATAGCCCCGCCCACTGTGATGACGTCATCGCCGCGCAGGCCCCGCCCACAGTGACGTCCTTTCTCCTACCCAGGTGGAGGCCAAGGACCCCAAGGGGAGGAGGAGCCTGAGGCGGACGGTGAGGACTCAGCGCAGCACCCGGGGGGGGGGGAGGGGAGGGGAGGACTCAGTGCAGCACCCGGGGGGGGGGGGGGGAGGACTCAGCACAGCACCTGGGGGAGAGGGGAGGACTCAGCGCAGCACCCGGGGGTGAGGGGAGGACTCAGTTCAGCACCCGGGGGGGGGAGGACTCAGCACAGCACCCGGGTTAGGGGAGGACTCAGCGCAGCACCCGGGGGAGAGGGGAGGACTCAGCGCAGCACCTGGGAGTACCGAGCACAGCACCCAGGGGGAAAAGAGGACTCGGTGCAGCACCCAGTGAAGGGAAAGACTCAGCACAGCACCCGGGAGTACCGAGCACAGCACCCGCCCCCCCACCCCGCAGGCTCCGCCCCCCAGGGCCTGGTCCCCGGCCTCATTGGGGCCGCGGTGGCCGCGGTCACCGGCGCCGGCTGGAGCTTCATCGCCTACCAGAGGCGGAGGCTGTGCTTCCGGGAGCGCGGTGAGGATGGGGGCGGGGCCTAGGGGAGGGGGCAGGGCCTAGGGTGAGGGGCGGGGCCAGGAGTGAGGGGCGGAGCCTAGGGGGTGAGGGGCGGGGCCAGGGGTGGTGCCAGGCTGAGGGGGCGGGGCCTCGGAGAGCGTGAGGGGCAGGGTTTCCAGGCCTAAGAGGGGGCGTGGCCTATGGGGCGAGGGGGCGGGGCTTCCTCTGATGACGGCCGCGTCCCTTCCCGCCCACCTCCCTGGCTCCGCCCCAGCGCAGGCCAATGAGGTCCTAGCGCTCGCACTCGCGGTCCCCTTCCCGGCCGTGCCTGGGGGAGGGGCGGGACAGGAAGTGACGTCATTAGCCCCGCCCCCACCCTGGTCGGCCCTGCCCACTCCAGAAGTTCCACAGGAAGCTCACGTCCCGGTTTGTCCCGCCCACTCCGGTTAGCCCCGCCCACCCCGGCATTTCCCAACTCCCGTTAGCCCCGCCCACAATGGAAATCCCCGTCCCCTGTTTAGCCCCGCCCACTCTACAATATCCCACCCGGCTAGCCCCGCCCACCCCGGCATTTCCCTTGTCCCAGTCGGCCCCGCCCACCCCGTCCGGCCCCGCCCCCTCACCATCCACACTTAGCCCCGCCCACTCTGATATCCCCCATCCCTACTAGCCCCGCCCACTCAAGTTAGCACCACCCATCCCTGGAATACGCAGAACTCGGTCATGTGACACAGCGACAGGAACGTGCAGAAGGTGCGGTGGGCGGGGGCCTGCCAGGGGGAGGGGGCGGGGCAGTGGGCGGGGCCTGGCGGGGGTCACTTCCGGCCGTCCCAGCAGCCCACTTCCTGTCCCTCCTGGACCCACTTCCTATCCTTCCTGGACCACTTCCTGTCCCTCCTGTGCCCACTTCCTATCCCTCCTGCGCCCACTTCCTGTCCCTCCTGGACCCACTTCCTGTCCCTCCTGCGCCCACTTCCTGTCCCTCCTGGACCCGCTTCCTGTCCCTCCGGAACCCACTTCCTGTCCCTCCGGGACCCACTTCCGGTCGCCACCGCAAAGCCCCATGGGAAACGTAGTCCTGCACAGCAGGGACACAGAAACCCCCACTTCCGGTTCTTGTCCCAGAGCATTCTGGGAAATGTAGTCCCACACCGCAGGGCCCCCAGACACCCCCAATTCCTGCCACTGACGCAGGGCATTCTGGGAAATGTAGTCCCAGACAGCCGGGCCACATAAAACCCACTTCCGGTCACTGACGCACTGGATGCTGGGAAATGTAGTCCCACACAGCGAACTCACATAAACCCACTTCCTGCCACTGACGCAGGGCACTCTGGGAAACGTAGTCCCAGTCCCCAGGGACACAGACACCCACTTCCGACCACAGGCGCAATGGATGCTGGGAACCGTAGTCCCACAGAGCCAGGGCCCAGGGCTCCACTTCTGCCTCTGATGTAGCGCATTCTGGGAAATGGAGTCCACAGCGCCCAGAGTCCGCGCCCCCGAAGACCTCACCCGCCCACCACGACCCTGTGTGACCCCGCAGAGCACTCTGGGAAACGTAGTCCCGCCCACGCTGCCGGGCCCCAGCGACCCCCCCAGACTTCCTGCCACTGACGCACGGGATGCTGGGAAATGTAGTCCCGCACATCCAGGTCCCGGGAACCCCCACTTCCGGTCGCCATCCCAGGGCACTCTGGGAAATGTAGTCCCGCACATCCAGGTCCCGGGAACCCCCCACTTCCGGTCGCCGTCCCAGGGCACTCTGGGAAACGTAGTCCCGCCCCCGCGCCGGGGCCCCGCCCCCTCACCTTCCTCGGCGACTCCGCCCCCTTGCAGCAGAGGATGTCCCGGGCCGCGGAAGTGATGTAGCTGTCCCAGGACTGGCACAGGAAGGCGGGATCCAGGGTCAGGTTCCGGAACAGCGGGGCTGGGGAGGGGGGGCGGGGCCGGGGTGACGTCATCGGGGGCGGGGCCGGGGCGACGTCATCGGGGACCCACGGGGGGGGGGGGGGGGGGGGGGGGCGGGGGGACTCAGCCCCCAGCACCCGGGGAGGACTCAGCACCTAGCACCCAGGGAGGACTCAGCTCCCAGCACCCAGGGAGGACTCAGCCCCCAGCACCCCGGGATGGACCCCGAATGACTGACAGCGGGGAGAGGGGGCGGGGCCACGTCACGTACCCGGCCGTGACGTCATCGCGCAGGCCAGGGGCGGCGCCAGCGCCAGAAGCAGCAGCAGCAGCAGCCGCAGGGCGGCCATGGCCTCAGCACAGCACCCAGGAGGACTCAGCGCAGCACCTAGCACCTGGAAGGGCTGAGCACAGCACCCAGGAGGACCAAGTACAGCACCTAACACTTGGAAGGACTCAGCACAGCACCTGGGGACTCAACATAGCACCCAGAAGGACTCAGCGCAGCACCGAGGACCTGGAAGGACTCAGCACAGCACCCAGAAGGACTCAGCGCAGCACCTAGGACCTGGAAGGACTCAGCACAGCACCCAGGAGGACTGAGCACAGCACTCAGCACCCGGGATGAGGAAGTCCCGCCCCCCCCGTGTGGTGATTGACAGGCGACACTGACGCGGAGGATTCTGGTTTTTTTTTTTTTATTAAAAAAAAACCGAACCCAAGCCCGGCGATGACGTCACTTCCGGGTCCGTGACGGGGGGGGGGGGGGGGGGGGGGTCAGAAGGGGTCACGGGTGGGAGGTCAGGGGTCACGGCGGCCATCTTGGTTCAGGGCGGCCCGCGTAGTGGGTGACCCATGACTTCATCGCCATGACCTCCCGGGGAGCCGGGGGTCGAAGGTCAGGTCTGGGTGTGGGGGGGGCGGTGACCTGTCAATCAGAGGTCAGGAGGGCGATGGGGTCAGCTGTCAATCACCTGGGAGGACTCGGCCCAGCACCCGGGGGGACTGAGCACAGCACCCAGGAGGACTCAGCACAGCACCCAGGAGGACTCAGCGCAGCACCTAACACCTGGAAGGACTCAGCCCACCACCTGGGGACTCAGCACAGCACCCGGGAGGACTCAGCACAGCACCCGGGAGGACTCAGCACAGCACCTAACACCCGGAAGGACTCAACCCAGCACCTGGGGACTCAGCACAGCACCCAGGAGGACTGAACACGCCACTAAGTACCCAGGAGGACTCAGCACAGCACCTGGAGACTCAGCCAAGCACCCGGGAGGACTCAGCCCCCAGCACCCGGGGAGAACTCAGCACAGCACCCAGGAGGACTGAACACACCACTACGTACCCGGTGAGGACTCAGCTCAGCACCCGGGAGGACTCAGCGCAGCACCCAGGTGGACTGAACACACCACTCAGTACCCAGGAGAATTCAGCACAGAACTCAGGAGGACTCAGCACAGCACCCGGGAGGACTCAGCACAGCACCCAGGAGGACTGAACACGCCACTCAGTACCCAGGAAGGCTCAGCACAGCACCCGGGAGGACTCTGCACAGCACCCAGCCCCCGGATGACCCAGCCCCCAGCACCCCCACTTCCTCTCTGACCCCCGAGCGCTGACTCACCCCCCGCCCCCCCCCCCCCCCCCCCCGCAGGCCTCTTCCAGAAGACGATCATCCAGACCGGAACGGCCCTGTCGATCTGGGCAGTGAACTACCAGCCAGCCAAGTCCACGCGGGCGCTGGCGGAGCAGCTGGGCTACGGCCCTGGGTCGTCGCCGGGGTCACCGGGGTCATCGCCGGGGTCGTCACCGGGGTCACCCTCGCCGGGGTCGTGGGACACGTCGGCGCTGGTGCAGTGCCTGCGGGGCGCGGGCTGGCGGGAGGTGTCGCGGCCCCGGGTGCGAGTGGCGGCGGCGGGGGCGTACCACGTGGCGTTCGGGCCGGTGTTGGACGGGGACGTGATCCCTGATGACCCGCAGATCCTCATGGAGCAGGGCGAGTTCCACAACTACGACGTCATGCTGGGCGTCAACCAGGGCGAGGGGCTGCGCTTCGTGGACGGCCTCGTTTGGGGCGGGGGCGCGGGTGCGAATCACGACGGTGAAGACACGGCAGACACGTATGACGACGACGGCGCAGGTGCAAGTCACGACGTCGACACGGGAAACGCGTACGACGGCGCGGAACGCACGAGTGCGAGTCGCGGCGAGGATGGGGACGCACGTGCGAATCACGACGGCGAAAACACGGAACACACGTATGACGACGAAGGCGAGGACCCGCGCGGCGGCGTGGGGGCCGCCGCGTTCGACCACGCCATCGCCACGTTCGTCGACCGGCTATACGGCGGCGGGGACGGCGGGAACGGCGACGGGCGCGCGGCGCTGCGGGAGACGGTGAAGTTCATGTACACGGACTGGGCGTCGCGGGAGCGCGGGGCAGCGTGGCGGCGGCAGACGCTGGTGGCGCTGTTCACGGACCACCAGTGGGTGGCGCCCGCCGTGGCCACCGCGGACCTGCACGCACGCTATGGCTCGCCCACGTACTTCTACGCCTTCTGCCACCGCTGCGGGGGTGGGGCCGGGGGCGGGGCCGGGGGTGCAGGGGGCGGGGCCGAGGCCGCGCAGGGCGACAAGGTCCCCTACGTGTTCGGCGTCCCCATGGCGACCTCGGACGACGCCGACGCCGCCGCCAACGACCTCTTCGCATGCAACTTCTCCCACGAGGACGTCATGCTCAGCGCCGTCGTCATGACCTACTGGACCAACTTCGCCAAGATGGGGTGAGCGCGGGGTCGCGGGGGGTCGCGGTGGGGTCAGGGTCAGGGCGACAAGAGAGTGGGGTCATTGCGGGGTCAACAGGGGGTCAGGGTGGGGTCGTCACGGGGTCAACATGGGTTCAACACGGGGTTAGGTTGACCATTCGGTGGGGTCATGGTGGGGTCGACACAGGGTTAGGGCAACGTGATTGTGGAGTCATCGGGGTCAGCACGGGGTCGCGGTGGGGTCGTCGCGGGGTCAACACGGGGTCGCGGTGGGGTCATGGCGGGGTCACGGCAGGCTCGGGTGCTTGCGGCATCCCGTGACGTCACGCCTTGAAATTTGTGTGACCCTGATGACCCCGCAGTGACCCCCCCCCCCCCCCCCGTGCGACCCCACCCCGACCCCTGAGCGACCCTCGTACGACCCCCGGGGGGACAAGCATGGCCCCACACGTCCCACACGTGACATCACACGCAACACGCACAACACCACACGCAACACGGCCGGCTTCATGCACGACATCACGCGTGACATCACACCGAACACGCATGACATCACACGTCCCACTGATGACATCACGCGCGACATCACACACAACACGGATGACATCACGCACGACATCACACGCAACACGGACGACATCACGCACGACATCACACGCGTGACGTCCCACGTTTCACGCGTGTCCTCCTCCCCCCCCCCCCCCGCCCCCCCGCAGGGACCCCAACCGCCCGGTGCCACAGGACACCACGTTCCTCCACACGCGCCCGAACCGGTTCGAGGCGGTGGCCTGGTCCAAGTACGACCCGCGGGAGCAGCTGTACCTGCACATCGGGCTGCGGCCCCGGGTTCGAGACCACTACCGCGCCGCCAAGGTCGCCTTCTGGCCCGAGCTCGTGACCCACCTGCACGGCCTGCGCGACCTCCTGCAGTACGTCAGCACCACCCCGCGGGCGCCCGGCGGGGACGGTGGCGGGGACACGGCCCACGCCAAAAACACGCGTGACCACGGCGCGGACGCCGCCGACAAGGACGCCCGCCGCGCGCACGGCAAGCCCTGGGCCGCCACGCGGAGGCCCGCGGTCACGGCGGCGAGGGGCGAGCACGGGCTGCGCCCACGCGGGACCCGCGCCCAAGGACACGCCAACCACGCGGAGGACGCCACTGTGCTGATCGAGACGAAGCGCGACTACGCCACGGAGCTGAGCGTGACGATCGCGGTCGGCGCCTCGCTGCTGCTGCTCAACGTCCTGGCCTTCGCCGCGCTCTACTACAAGAAGGACCGGCGGCGCCATGAGACGCACCGGCGGCTGCACGCGGGACACGGGCGCCACGGCCACGGGGTCGGCGGGTTCCCGACGGCGGCGAAAAAAAACGCTGCCGCCGCCACCACCGCCGCCGACTCGGCCCGGCCAGCGCCATGATGGCGGCGTGGGCGGAAACGGCGTGGACGCGGCCACGGACGCCACCGCCGCCGCCATCACGGGGGGGGGGATCTGCGCAGCCTGCCCGCCCGACTACGCGCTCACGCTGCGGCGCTCGCCCGACGACGTCGCGCTCCTGGCGCCCAGCACCATCGCCACGGCCACGGCGGGTGGGATCGGCCTCCGGGATGCTGGCGTTCAACGCCTTCGTGGGCGGCGTGGGCGGCGGCGGCGGTGGGGGGCAGAGCGGGTCGAACCTGCCGCACGGACACTCGACCACGCGGGTATAGCGGGCGGGTGGCGGGTTCCGGTTACGTCCACGCGGACTCATGCGGAGGAGACTCTCGATTTCCCCCCCACCCGCGGTTTAATCTCGTTTTTTGGGGGAGGGGCGCGGGTCTCCCCGTTTGCCGATTTTTTTCGGTCCCGCGTGTGGCGCCCACCGGGAGGGTGTGGACTTTTATCTTGACACGGACACGCGGACTCTGCTGGGGAAAAAAAAATCGATAAAAAATATAGACATGAAAAACTCGTGGGACACGGGAAGCACAGACACGGACGCCGCCGTGGCCGCAGGACTGAATTCGCGGGAACTTCGTGAACACGGGGGGCGGCCGGGGGGGGGGGGGAAACACGATCACAACCGTCATACGTGTGTCATACGTGTGCGACCCGGGAGGGTTTGCACAGAGCGGTGGGGGGGAGGGGGAACACGATGCCAATAAACGGTTTTTCTCGAACTCGAGTCCGTGGGGCGGGGCCTGGGGCTGCGTGGGACACGCGTGGGGTGGGCGGGGCTGAGTGTGGAGTGACACCGGCGTGGAGTGGGTGGGCGGGGTCGAAGTCTAGGAACGACATCACCCTGGTGGGCGGGGCTTCTAGTGGTGACTGACACCGATCTCACGCGTGACCTTACTCGCACCACACGTGACCTTTCTCGCACACACCCGTGACCTTTCTCGCGCACACGCCTGTGACCTTTCTCGCGCACAAGCCCGTGACCTTTCTCGCACCACGCGTGACCTTTCTCGCACATACCCGTGACCTTTCTCGCGCACACGCCTGTGACCTTTCTCGCGCACACGCCCGTGACCTTTCTCACACACGCCCATGACCTTTCTCGTACCCACGCCCGTGACCTTTCTCACGCACACGCCCGTAACCTTTCTCGCACCCACGCGTGACCTTTCTCGCGCCACGCCCGTGACCTTTCTCGTACGCGCATGCCCGTGACCTTTTTTGCACACGCCCGTGACCTTTCTCGTGCACACGCGTGACCTTTCTCGCACACACGCGTGACTTTTCTCACACACGCCCGTGACCATTCTCACACCACGCGTGACCTTTCTCGCAAACACGTGTGACCTTTCTCGCACACAGGCGTGTGACCTTTTTCTCACCCCCCGTGACCTTTCTCGCGCACACGACCGTGACCTTTCTCGCACCACGCCCGTGACCTTTCTCACACCACGCCCGTGACCTTTCTCGCACCCACGCGTGACCTTTCTCGCACACGCCCGTGACCTTTCTCGCACCCACGCGTGACCTTTCTCGCACCCACGCGTGACCTTTCTCGCACACGCCGTGACCTTTCTCGCACACGCCGTGACCTTTCTCGCACACGCCCGTGACCTTTCTCGCACACACGTGTGACCTTTCTTACACACGCCCGTGACCTTTCTCACACCACGCGTGACCTTTCTCGCACACACGTGTGACCTTTCTCACACACGCCCGTGACCTTTCTCACACCACGTGTGACCTTTCTCGCACCCGTGCCCGTCACCTTACTCGCGCACGCCCGTGACCTTTCTCGCACCACCCATGACCTTTCTCGCGCACGCCCGTGACCTTTCTCGCACCCACGCCCGTGTGATGTCAGCACTCGGGACACAGAAACACACGGAGAAGACTCAGCACAGCACCCGGGAGGACTCAGCGCAGCACCCGGGAGGACTCAGCGCAACACTCAGCACCCATGAGACTGGAGCGATGACTGACACCGGATCGGACCAGTGCAAACCCGTCTAGAAGCATCTCAAACCGGATCAAACGAGATCAGACCGGCTTAGCCTGGTTCAAAAGCGGATCAAACTGGTTTGAACCGGTTCAAACCGGTTCAGTATGGTTCAAAGTGGTTTAGATCCGTAAAAAGTGATTTAGACCAGCTCAAAACCGGATCAAACTGGTTCAAACCGGATCAGAACAGGATCAAACCGGTTCAAACTGGATCCATACCAGTTTAGAACAGTTCAAAGTGGCTTTTGACAGATTCAAAACCAGATGGAACTGGTTCAGACCGGATCAAACTGGTTTAGACTGGTGCAGACCGAATCAAACCAACTTCGCCCGGTTCAAAGCGGAATCAAACTGGATCAGACCGGACCGAACTGGTTCAGTGTGGATCAAACATTCAGACTGGTTCAAACTGGTTCAGACCGGTTCAAAACAGAATCAAACTGGATCAGACCGGATCGAACTGGTTCAGTGTGGATCAAACTAGTTTAGATCAGTACAAACCGGTTCAGACCGGTTCCAAACCGGATCACACCAGATCAGACCAGATGCAAACCTGTTCTGACCGTGTCAAGCCGGGTAAACTCAATCAGACCGGAACAAACCGGTTCAAACCGGATCCAACCATACCAAACGTGTCCTAAAAGGAACAAAAAAACGGGGTCACGTGGGGTCACGCGGGGTCACACTGAGCACCCAGCACCCCGAGCACTGAGCACTGAGCACCCTGAGTACTAAGCACCCAGCACCCCGAGAAATAAGCACCCAGCACCCCGAGCACTGAGCACCCAGCACCCCGAGCACTGAGCACCCCGAGCACTGAGCACCCAGCACCCTGAGTACTGAGAACCCAGCACCCCGAGCACTGAGCACCCAGCACCCCGAACACTGGGAACCCAGCACCCTGAGTACTGAGCACCCAGCACCCCTGAGCACTAAGCACCCAGCACCCTGAGCACTGAGCACCGAGCTCCCTGAGTACTGAGAACCCAGCACCCTAAGCACTGAGCACCCTGAGCACTGAGCACTGAGCACCCAGCACCCCGAACACTGAGCACCCCGAGCACTGAGCACCCAGCACCCTGAGCACTGAGCACCCAGCACCCTGAGTACTGAGCACCCAGCACCCCTGAGCACTAAGCACCAAGCACCCCGAGCACTGAGACTCCTAGCACCCTGAGCACTGAGCACCCAGCACCCTGAGTACTGAGCACCCAGCACCCTGAGCACTGAGCACCCCGAGCACTGAGCACCCAGCACCCTGAGCACTGAGCACCCAGCACCCCGAGCACTGCGCACCCAGCACCCTGAGCACTGAGCACCCAGCACCCTGAGCACTGAGCACCCAGCAACCCGAGCACTGAGCACCCAGCAACCTGAGTACTGAGCACAAAGCACCCTGACCACTGAGCACCGAGCACCCCGAATACTGAGCACCCTGAGGCCTGAGTACTGAGCACCCAGCACCCTGAGCACTGAGCACCCAGCACCCTGAGCACTGAGCACCCAGCACCCTGAGTACTGAGCACCCAGCACCCTGAGTACTGAGCACTGAGCACCCCGAGCACTGAGCACCCAGCACCCTGAGCACTGAGCACCCAGCACCCTGAGCACTGCGCACCCAACACCCTGAGCACACAGCACCCTGAGCACTGAGCACCCAGCACCCCGAGCACTGAGCACCCCGAGCACTGAGCACCCATAACCCTGAGTACTGAGCACCGAGCACCCCGAGTACTGAGCACCCTGAGCCCTGAGTACTGAGCACCCAGCACCCTGAGCACTGAGCACCCAGCACCCCGAGCACTGAGCACCCAGCACCCCGAGCACTGAGCACCCAGCACCCTGAGCACTGAGCACCCAGCACCCCGAGCACTGAGCAACCAGCACCCCGAGCACTGAGCACCCCGAGCACTGAGCACCCAGCACCCTGAGCACTGAGCACTCAGCACCCTGAGTACTGAGCACCCAGCACCACTGAGCGCTAAGCACCCAGCACCCCGAGCACTGAGCACCCAGCACCCTGAGCACTGAGCACCTGAGAACTGAGCACCCAGCACCGTGAGTACTGAGCACTGAGCACCCCGAGCACTGAGAACCAGGCACCCTCAGCACTGAGCACCCAGCACACTGAGCACTGAGCACCCAGCACCCTGAGCACTGAGCACACAGCACCCTGAGTACTGAGCACTGAGCACCCCGAGCACTGAGCACCCAGCACCCTGAGCACTGAACACCCAGCACCCTGAGCACTGAGCACCCAGCACGCTGAGTACTGAGCACACAGCACCCTGAGCACTGAGCACCCAGCACCCTGAGCACTGAGCACCCAGCACCCTGAGCACTGAGCACTCAGCACCCTGAGCGCTGAGCACCCCGAGCACTGAGCACCCAGCAACCTGAGCACTGAGTACCCTGAGTACTGAGCACCCAGCACCCTGAGCACTGAGCACCCAGCACCCCGAGTACTGAGCACCCAGCACCCTGAGAACTGAGCAGCCAGCACCCTGAGTACTGAGCACCCAGCACCCTGAGAACTGAGCAAAAAGCACCCTGAGTACTGAGCACCCAGCACCCCGAGAACTGAGCACCCAGCATCCCGAGCACTGAGCACCCCGAGCACTGAGCAACCAGCACCCTGAGCACTGAGCACCCAGCACCCCGAGTACTGAGCAACCAGCACCCTGAGCACTGAGCACCCAGCACCCTGAGTACTGAGCACCCAGCACCCTGAGTACTGAGCACTGAGCACCCCGAGCACTGAGCACCCAGCACCCTGAGCACTGAGCACCCAGCACCCCAAGCACTGCGCACCCAGCACCCTGAGTACTGAGCACCCAGCACCCTGAGCACTGAGCACCCAGCACCCCGAGCACTGAGCACCCCGAGCACTGAGCACAAAGCACCCTGAGTACTGAGCACCGAGCACCCCGAGTACTGAGCACCCTGAGCCCTGAGTACTGAGCACCCAGCACCCTGAGCACTGAGCACCCAGCACCCTGAGCACTGAGCACCCAGCACCCTGAGCACTGAGCACCCAGCACCCCAAGCACTGAGCACACAGCACCCCGAGCACTTAGCAAGCAGCAACCTGAGTACTGAGCACAAAGCACCCTGAGCACTGAGCACCGAGCACCCCGAGTACTGAGCACCCTGCGCCCTGAGTACTGAGCACCCAGCACCCTGAGCACTGAGCACCCAGCACCCTGAGCACTGAGCACCCAGCACCCTGAGTACTGAGCACCCAGCACCCTGAGTACTGAACACTGAGCACCCCGAGCACTGAGCACCCAGCACCCTGAGCACTGAGCACCCAGCACCCTGAGCACTGCGCACCCAGCACCCTGAGCACTGAGCACCCAGCACCCTGAGCACTGAGCTCCCAGCACCCTGAGCACTGAGCAACCAGCACCCCGAGCACTGAGCACCCGAGCACTGAGCACCCAACACCCTGAGTACTGAGCACTGAGCACCCCGAGTACTGAGCACCCTGAGCCCTGAGTACTGAGCACCCAGCACCCTGAGCAGTGAGCACCCAGCACCCTGAGCACTGAGCACCCAGCACCCTGAGTACTGAGCACCCAGCACCC